TGTTGCCCAGAACAGGTGGTGGGGAGAGAAAGCAAGCTCAATGCTTAGCTTATATGACACAGGCTGATTGGGAGAGGGGGGCTGGAGGCAAAGTGGGAGCCACCACCCCTGGGGGTTAGGCTGGTCAGTGACCACCCAGGATCCCTGCAGTACGCCCACTGGCCTCACACAGAACCGGGCCACCCGCCCAGGATGGCCGTCAGCCCGCCCACCGCCTGGCTCCAGTCTGATTACGGCCAAAGTGCTAAAAGGCTCCAGACCCCCCAAGCCCCGCCCCATGGTTCCCCCCCCCCACGCCCCCACGCTTCCCTCCTCCCTCAGCTCCCTCTTTTCCTTTTGCCCAGGCCCCTTGGGGAGCAGTTTACTCCATCTGGTCACTGGCTGGGAGGAAGGGGGTCCCTTCCATGGTTTGGGACTGGATGCTTCTTCCTTCCAAAGCCCTCTTGGCCTGGCCTCTTTGAGACACGTTCCATGCCTCGCCTGGGATCTCATAAATACCAAGGAGAGGTCGGTCAGCTATGCACAAAACGTAGATCCGCACCCCACCCCTTTAAGAGCCCCTGGGTTCTTTGCAAGCTCCCTTCTCTTCCCTAGACACCTGCATGGAGATGCTGAGGAAGGAGAGACAGGGCAGGGGCTGGGCACGGGAAGGGGAACCCTGTGTGAAACTGGCCCCATTTCAAATGAGACTTGCCTTGGTTTGCAAAGAAATCTCAGGAAAGGCGGCTCAGGGCCCCTTGTGCAAGCAGCAGGCGCAGGAATTCCTTGACTCCCATCCAAACCTCCCCCCAGCCCCTTCTCAGCCTTTCTCTCTGCTCATTACCATCCACACCACCTCCCACCCACTGGGAAAGAGAGAAGGTCATCGCCAAAGGGGCCCAGGGAAGGGGAGGCCTCCTGGGGAGGGCAGGCCCTGTGGAGTAAGAACTGTTTACCCACATCTGAGCTCCTAGAGCTCACCTCCACTCCCCTCCAAGGGCCAGTAGAAACTCAAAATTGTCCAGTCCCACCCAATGGAAGATGAATCTTAAGTCTAAGTGGCCCCATGGGGAGCAGGTATGGTGAGAGGGCGGAGGCTGTGATGCCACCTGGAGGAAGAAGGCAGGCCTGACTCTGAGGCTGGGTGGGCGCCATCCTGCTGGAGACCCAGGGAATCCGGGAGCCTGAATTCTCTTCCTGGTCTCTGCTGACAACCACAGCATGAGCGGGAACAGCTAAGCCTAGTGAGCCACCCTCAGATGGCTTTATTGTGCTTGTCAGAAAATGACCTTTCACAACCTCAGTGTCATTTAAATGTCCTGGTCAGTGCTGGGCACTACACAATTCCATGCAGGCCCCTCCAGACCAGAATGTGACTCGCAAATCAGTGGCTCTTTCCAGAGGCTCCCATTACGATGGCTGGCGGAGTGGGGGTGGGGATGGGAGGGAGGAGCAGGTCAGGCGCTAGCTGAGCCTCTGGCCTTGGCCCTTGCGTGAGGAGCTGAGCTCTCCAGTAGTGTCTAAGACCTTGAGCCTGGAAGTTTATTTTGAGATTTGAAACTCCAAAGTGGCAGATCCCAGAAAACCTCTTCTCTGGCTCCGTATTTGTTCTCTAGTTAAGTGGCTGAGAGTTGCTCTTACAGTCAGCTGGCTCCTGCAACTGGGGTTCCTCCTGGGGAGCTGGGGGCTCCAGGGAAGGGGAAGGAGTGAAGCCCCATCCCAGATTGTCCACTCTGGGGCAGAGGTAGCCTGTGAGCCATGGGGAGGAGTCTTGTCCCCTCACCCACTTTCCTCCCTCTTGGAGTTGCTGTTTCGGGGGGCCCCTCAGCTCAGCCACATGCTTTAATAGTTGAGCATCTATGTTGTGCCAAGACACAGTCCCACTTGACTAGGAAGACAGCTGAGGCCAAGGAAAGGGCCTCCTAACTGAGACTGGGGCCCATGTGGGTGAGTCCACCCGAGGTTAGGGCTGATGTGATCATCCGCAGCTCCCCACCCTGCAACCTCAGGCCCATATGTAGAAACAGACACGGGGCCAGAGTCACACCCAGGCCGAAGCACACAGCAGAGTCTGGGAGAGGCTGCTAGAGCGTGCTGACTGCTGCCCAGCATCAAGGTGGCGTTGGCTGGGAGGAGGTGAAAGGGTGGTCCAAGGGAAGGGGTGGGGCCACTCCTCTCACCTGCTCCTCTCAGGAGAGTTCAGCATAAAGTCTGCTGCTTTTTCAAGAAATATAAGGGCCAACCAGAGCCTCCCAGACTGAGAAAAAGGACAGAAGGGCAGGGGAAGGGTCAGCTGATTGGTCTCTGTATTCAATCCTCTCCCACTCCCACCCAACTTCCCACCTTCCCCCCAAAGGTGGGCACCTTCTACCCTGCACAGCATGGCTCACCCCTGCTCCCCACCTGAACTCCTCTTCTCCACTCTAGCCTCCTCTGCTCCAGCTGGCTGGCCCCTTCATAGCTCTGCACACCAGCCCATCCCACCTTAGGGTCTGTGCTGGCTGTTTGGGATCCTCCTTCAGCCTTTGAATGTTACCTAAATGACCACCCACTGGATCACCCTAGTTACAATTCTATTTTTTCCTACTCATGGCTTTCCTACATACTATACTATGTTTTACTTACGATGTTTCCTGTTTATTGTCTATCTTCTCCCAATAAACAGTAAACTCCATGAGGGCAGAAATTGTTTTGCTTTGTTCACTGATGTGTCCTTGGTGCTGAGCAGTCTGGCACGTGGTAGGGAATAAATATTTGTTGAATGGATGAATGCACTCTGCCCCCTGACACAGCAAGTGAGGGAGAGGAGTAAGAAGTGGGGAGAAGGGATAAAGGTCCCTCTGAGCCCTTCTCCCCCAGCTCAGCTTCTGGGATGTCTGTGGCCAGCTGCGCCCTGTCCGCTCACACTCAGGCGTCTCTAACACCCCCCAACCAAGAACTGACAGTGAGTTTGGGGTTGAGGGGGGGGTGAGCAATTTCCAGCGCGTTGTTTACACCAAGGCTTTATAGTTTAGATAAATCAAGGGGAGAGGCACGAAAGACACCTGGAAATGAGGCGGGAGAAACTGAGGCCCGAAAAGATGTTGGGGCCAGATCCCAGATGAACTCCCAAAGTTGGAAGACCCTGGCTTTTTTGTTGTTTTTTAAAATATATTTTATTGATTTTTCACAGAGAGAAGGGAGAGGGATA